AAACGCTATATCCTGTCAAACCTGGAAACAGTTTCTTCTATTCCAGCACAGTCAGTTGATATCAAGTAATTTGGAGGAAAGATGCCCTGCCTTGGCTGAAGGATGCTGCTGTCTTAATGGGACTTCCTCCCTTCTGGGGCTCAAACCAGTTCCCAGAGCTGATGACACCTGGCTTGCACTGAGACACCCCCACAGACTCACAGAGTCCCCAAATACCCACCCAGCATGTAACATTCACAGCAGGAAGCGTTTCCATGGCTTGCCGGAGGCCAGCAAGCAGGGATATAGGGGCAGAGTATAGCAACGCTTCCCCCGCCACAATCTGGGAGCAGCTCCAGTTGAATCTAAACTGGGAGAGTTGTTGGTAACTGGAGCAGCCAGCTGTAGCATGGATGGTGAGTCATGGATGCCTGGGCTTTGGCCAGCATTTATTCTAGGGTCAGATTCTCAAGGAATATCCTGTGGAGCAGGCAAGAGGGGCTGGTCTTTCCCCTCCACTCACCCTGACCCTTCCCTAGTGCCTAGTTTTTTAAAATAAGAGGTCTAGGAGCTACATCCTTATGTGAGGAAAAGGCCCTGTATTGGCCCCTACCTTTTTCACATGAGATGCCTTGCTTGCTTCTTATACAACCCTTTACTATGATGAGGGAGTTGGGGAACATGGAAGCAACACATACATCAGCAATTCCAGCTGACTGTCAGAGCACCACCTTTGATCTCTGAACACAGGAAGGGAGAATTAATGCAAGCTGCTATTTCCACAAACACTGCCTTACCATAAGCATCTTCTTGTGCCCTCCTCAAGATGTGAGCAGAAGCCAAGCATCCGGCGCCTGCACTCTCTGTTCAAACTTCACTAGGATCACTGCCGTTATCACAGCTATTTGTACGCCTATTTGGGGGGCCTTGCAGGTCAAGCCAAAATGGAGCTCAGATTGGGGATTAAGCAAAGAGCCTCTGGGATCCATAATAAGCACAAGCCCTACAACTTCACAAGTAGCGTGGAAAGCAATAGTAGATCTGTGCATGAATAGGGACATATACACTAAATCTTAAAACAGGGATATGACCAAGAATCGCAGTGCAACCTACAAGATGTTAGCTTCCATATAACCTGAAATGCCTGATCCTGCCTAATCTTAGAAGCTAAGCAGGGCTGGACCTGGTTGAAATCTGGATGGGTGACTTAAATGTTGTGAACTGCCCTGGGAGCTTTGGCTACTAATGCTATAGAAATGCAATGTAATAATTAAAAATTGTAATCATATTAGGTGAACTACATAACAGCATGCCAAACATCCTCAAAAACCTGCTAGTATTCAATTATTTAACAGTGTCCACACTACCAAATTAAATTTATTTATTTATCTGAACCCTGTCTTTCCCCCAAGAAAACAGTGCCCAAAGCAGCAAACAATCATAAGATCAAGAGGTAAAGGATTATCTGTCCAAATAACTGAATATTCATGTATGCAGAGTTCCTTGAAGGAAAAATGCAGGATATTGATATGATATGATTAATATACTATAATATGCAACCAGTTTCAAACTTCCTAATTGTGATGGGGCCATTTGGTGCTGAGCATTGCAGTTCTTGAGCATTCCATTAGTGAAATCTGAGGACTATGAAAAAAGCACACAGAAACAACACCCTACAGGTCCAACCAATTCTTAACTGGCTCTTTAAATCATTACAAACAGGTTTGAAACCCACAAAAAAGTCCTTGATGCCAATTGTTGCCAAATTGTCCCCTAGATGGTTAATCAGTGAGTGGTTCCATCTTTGAATCAGCACTCAGGAAGAAAGGTACCCTACTCTGCAAACCCTGAGAGGCACTGGTATCCCCTCGGTGGCAAAGATGTCAACTTTGGTCCTCTCTGTTGTCCTATCATACTGCTAGTACAAGTTACACTACTGAGAAATGGGAGGCATCAACTTATTTTAGTGAAACAGCAAAGGAGAGGGCAGTTCCAGAACAGAGAGAGGAATACAATAAGAGGGAACAAAATGAACAAAGAACATAATGATCAACTACCATCATTAGTATGATCAAGGAACTCTAGAAACTCCCTTTAAGAAAAGGTTACAATGTTGGGAGCTTTTAAGCTTAGAAAAAGCAAATAAGGGGGGAAATGACAGAGATGTATACAATTATGCATGGTATGGAGAAAGTGGAAAGGGAGACATTTTGTTCCCGCTCTCCTAATGGTAGAACCAGAGCTTATCCTATGAAACTGCATAGCAGGAATCAGGACAGATAAAAGTAAGTACTTTGGTAGCTGACACATGAAATTCAGTACCACAAGATGTGAAAAACGATAATTTGGATGACTTTAAAAGATTAGACAAATGCATGAAGAATAACGCTATCCATGGCTAGTAATCACAGTGACCATGTATCATCTCCACCATTAAAGGCAGTGTGCCTCTGCATGCCAGTTGTTTAGGAACATGAGCAGCAGGGTGTGACATTGTGCTCACGTCCTGTCTGTGGCCTCCCCTCTGGGCTGTATGAACATGATTCTGCATTAGAGAAGTCTTTGCTTGGAACCAGCACCCCTCTTCCTATGATCTTATGTTACATTCTTACAGTCAGCCTGGACAAAATTAGTTGGGCACAAAAAGCACCAAAGAAACCCATAGGTACAATGGCAGAACAAGGAGAGTCAAGTATAAGATTAAAAGCCATGCATGCATTCCTTTAACTACCTTTGCATTCATATCTGGATAAGCACACCCATACAAATTGGCCCAGTGGTCTTCAAACTTTGTTCCAGAAAACACCAGTGGGGTCTTTCAGAAGCTTTTCACAAGATTCTCAATGGAACAATCAGGAATCTTGGATGAGCTTCCCTGAAAAGACAGCATGTCCACCTCTACCAAGCTTCCCCTGCAATGTGCAGCCACGGGGGAGTGTTGGACACATCTTAGGGCATCCTTTCGCCAACAGGGGCACCGAAGTCTTACATGCTTGACCAGTGCCCTGCATGGCCTGACCACTTCCTGAATGCCTGTCCCAGAATCCTCTGCAAGTTACTGCAGCTCCATGGCCAGACTACAAGGGTTCTTCAGGAGAGGAAAGTCAACATCAGAAGGATTTGCAGAAGGCAGAATCCCTGAAAAGCCACTGACAAAGGCAGCTGCCCACATGTAGTTGTTATTTACATACAGTGTGGTCAATGTACATACTGTTTTCTTGACACAACAACAAGAAAAACACAGGTCCCTGCCCTGAGGAGCTTGCAATCTACATTTTGCCAAGAGGGAGGAAGTTTAGATAACTGTGAGGCAATTATAGGTTAAACTAGCCTTTGTTTCAAACAGCTAGGTATAGACAATGGGTGCTTAATTCAAAGGCTTCACAAAAAAAGTGGATTTTAGGGACCAAAAAATGGAAAAAATGCACCCTGTGTAACTATTCTTGGGTGGAGTTCCAGAAGAAAGTAGCAGCAAGAAAAATGCATGAAGAGATGGCGCCTTCCACCCACATTCACAAGACCAGCGTTAACACCAAAGAGTACCAAGATGGGGCTCCTAGTTATGTACCATCCCCAGCCATACCTTCATGGTTCCTCAATGCATAATCCATTTATTCTTTCCACCATTACTATGAGTGGCTTTCTGTCCTGACCTAGCTGTGCGGGCTATGAAGTCTGGCTGAAAACAGGGGCAATGGTGAATGGCAGAGAAATCACCGCAAGGAACATTGCCAGCTTCTGAAGTATCTCTCCCCAGTGCTGCTCCACATCCTCCATACCAAGTGCTTTACACTTCTTGCTGTTGCTGTTTATAACTATGGGCACGCAGAGTGTGCTATACATTCTCACACCTGTGCACAGAGCGCGGTACACTAACACACACCTACATGCATTCCCAGCCTGCTAAGCAATCACTTACAGACATATGGAAGAAATGCAGTCACTCAAATAGTGAGACACAACCATACACACAAGCAGCCTCCCACACAGACAGTCTCCTCCCACGCTTGCTCACACACACAGCCTTCTTACTTAGCCAACCTCCCACAAACATCCTTCCCCTCACATGCCTAAACATTGCCTGAATGCAGAGATGAACACATGGCTCATATAGAGATGATGGAAGAGTTCTAATTTACATCTGCAGTCCTGAATACAGTGTTCCGACACAAGCACACGCACAATCACACTGAAAGAAGAACAGGCAGGCGATGCCCTCTTCTGCATGCATGCATATTCAGATATTTATAAAAAACACACATCATCATATGCAACAAGACCCACTGATCTCCTCAATACCATTCCCCTTTCCCCGCTACTCTTCCCCCTCCCATCCAGCAAGTAAGATCCTGGACCACCCCTTCTTGAAATGTGCTTTTTATTCTTGCCACAAACTTTTTCTAACCCTTCCCACAGCTCTTTCCCCTCCCCCAAGGGAGAAGCATCTCTAAGATAAATCTGTCCCCCCCCCCTCCACACACACAATTCTATCATGCCTGTCCTCGCCTGGAACCAATCCTTTTGCAAGCCAGAAGAAAAAGAAAAAAAGTGTCAGGCTCCTATAAGGATGAGAGAAATAACATTAACAAAAGCAGAGCTCATTTCAAAGGTCAACCATACCATGCATCAAGACATGCCACATCCATAAAAAGCCTGGCACAGGTGAAGAGCAAAGGGGCTGGACATGGGACACAATGTTCCTCAGTGCCAGCGACAGTACGAAGGACCCCACTGCAAGCGGTGGTGCACAAGGACAGGGATACTGGTGCCCGAGCAGCAGCAACAGCATCAGTGGCCAGGAAGGGACCCCAGGGCAGGTGATGCTGCTGAGCAGGGAAGACAGACAACGCCCATGCCATGCTGAGAGCCGGCAGATGCTCACTTCAAGTGACCAAGTAGTAGGTGGCAGGTAGGAGGGCAGTGTGTGTTGGCAGGTGAAGAGCAGAATCAGGGTTAGGGAGGGAAGGCTGGGGCGGTCTGGGGACAGGAGAAAGCGGTGCCCGTGCTGGAATACCACTCACCTCGTGCCCGGGAGGGGCAGCAGCTACACTTGGCCAGGACTTTACGGAACAAGTGGTGGCAGGCACAGCCTTGCTGGCTCCCACCCCTCATGGTGCCGCCCGGCCACGCTGGGCTCTGTCACCCGTGGCGCCAGCCATTGAGCAAAGGGAGGGATGGCACAGGCCGGTGCTGAAAGGGGCCTGCGGGAGGGGGGCTCCCGCCACCGCAGCCGTTTGCTTAGTGACAGAACAACAGGGCTGGGCTGGTGCTACCCGTGGGGAGGAGGAGCCTCTGCAGCTCTCCCCCGCTTCACTGCTTTCCCTCCCTCCCTCCTCCCTCCCTCTTCATCCATCTCCAGAGCTTCCTGGAGCCAGACGCCCCCCCTCCCTCCTGCTGAGCCATTGCAGCCAGCTCTGCAGCACTGGAGCCTGCAGTGGGCACCGGTGAGGGGGCAGGCCAATCTCCCTGTCCCCCCACCCCACCAGCAAGTGGAGGATACTAGTGAGTGCTGTGTGTGTGTGTATGCATGCACAGAAATAGAAAAGAAGTAGAAGAAACCAGTGGATGCAGGGGTCAGAAGCTGGGCGTAAGGATGCCTGAATGTTTTTTAAAAATACACATGCACATAGAAGGAACAGAAAGAGGAGAAGCTGTGTAGGTCTCTCTCTCTCTCTCTCTCTCTGTGTGTGTGTGTGTGTATGCGCGCATGCACGTGTGGGGGCATAAATTCAGAATGCATGAAGTTGGAGGAGCTCTGAGTATCAGCTGATAGACTGCCCAGGAATGTGTGGGCAACTCTGTGTGGGAGGTTGCTCGGCTCAAAGGCTCCATACGGAATACGTGTTATGGTCACCCCTGCCTACACAGTTACCGGTGCTCCAGAAATAAGGAGTGCGAGGAGAGCAGTCTAGGTCCTCTCCCACTGCCCTACTGCAAGGTTGGGGACAGTCCGTATAGAACACATACTGGTCTTCCCCAGCTGATTCTTGCTTTCACTGTGGATGGATGGTATACGAGAGGAAAAGCTTAAAGCTGCTTCAAACTACTACATGTTTCCTGTGCAAAAAGTAATTCCACTTGGCAGAAGGGGTGGGGGGGATGCATGAAATCCCCTTGTCGAGATTCGTCATTTAATGATCATACACATATCCATGTGTTGTATGCACACATCATGAGCTCCCAATGCATCTATACACACAGTGAAACAGATTCATGGTGACTGGCAAAGTGAAGTTTAGTGGTGAGAGTGTCTGCCTAGGGCTGGGAAGAGCCAGGTCCTTATCCAGTCATGAGTGACCGCTGGACAACCTAAACCCAGTCATGAAGGGTGCTTCCTGACAAAGCTTTTATAGCACAATTGCTGTGCTTCATTTGCAGAATCAAGCAGGGGGTCTACATGAAGGACTCCTATGTATTTCCACCACCTTTTCCATCTTTACTGCAGAAGTGTTATTAGGGGGGCGGGGGAAGCAAAATAGCTGCACAATGACTTGGTGCTGGTATCACTAGTAGTCTTCCATCTGGTAGCACCCTGACCTTGACCTACCTCACAAGATTGTTGTGAAGTTAAATTGAGGGTGAGAGGTGAACCATACAAATGTTTTGCGAACAAAGGAAAAACTGTTGCATTTACACCAGCCCTCAAGTGTACAAGATTGCCATCTGTCCTCTTGCAAAGACAGCGATTCCTTCCCTCACCCATCTTTAGCACTGCATTCTGCTGCTTGCCACAGTGAGCAAGCCACCCTCCTCCCAATGACATACCCATGGAAAGGAACTCTGAAAGGACCTGCAGTTTTTCCACAGTTCAAAATGCAACCCCTGACCAAAGCTGCATAGAGGGCTGGTTTGCACAAACTGCAGAATGAGGTTCAAAATTCTGGCGTGACAGAATGCAGATTTGGAGGAAAGGAACCCCATCCGTTAATACGCTCTTGCATATAATGATTTCCTCTTGATGAAAACTACCACTAGCGGAGAGAGAACATTTCCCCTCTGATGGGTCAGGTTTGGGGGATTTGTTTTTACTTGTGGGAATTTATTTACCACATGGAGTAGCAGTTAACCATAACATCTCCAGTCTCTAGAAAACACGGGGAAATGATGAGCAAGGTGGTCTTGAGCATGTGAAGAGTGCCTCCCACTTTTGAGTAGCCAGTCATTCCTAATATATCCTTGACTCCACAGGGAAGTTTCCTCGAAGCATTTCTTTCAGACACCTTTCCCTCACCTTGTGTTTTTTTAAGACCCCAGAAATAGTTGCTTCTGGATTTGAGCACCTCGACAGTTGAAAATGCTTGCCCTCTCAGAAGGCTATACTTAAGATACTTATGTTGTTTTTACACTACTTCAGCCATCACAGTTTCCTGGGGATGAGGTGCTTATTTAGACAGGTGCTGAGAATTACCTACTGCGGACTTCTGTACACAAGGAATTTATTGTGCGCTCATGATCCCTCACTCTTGGAAGCCTGCAGGTCTTTTTCAGTGTCACCATTCTCTAGGGTCTCTCCATGTTTTTCAGTCATTTTGAAGGATTTTCACAGCAAGGAAAGTCAGCTGTTAAATTCCAAATGCAGAGCAAACCAGAATCCACATTCAGTATAATTCTGGACCAATTCTGCTACCCTGCAGCTATATCACAGTGCTTCCTTGTGGCTGGATAAAGGCTGAGAAAGACAAATCTTTGGACAGTAGTAAGAAACATTGTAAAGGAAGAGTTCCTCCTTTGGCAAAGAAAACAAAAGAAGCCTCAGTAAAGTGGTGACTTAAGCACCTCCTGTAAAGAAGTTGCATCTCCTCGCCACAGTTCCCAGGAAAAAAGGAAGCTTAAATCAGTTAGCTAGTTATAACTGAGTTTCAGAATAGACTAGGGTGAAGAAGAAATCCAGCCTCATTGAGCCAGGATGCTGTGGGAAGAGTACAGAAAATTAAACTTTGAAAAGAGAGGGGAGGGGGGACTAGAAAGTAGGAGAGGTAAGGCAGAAAGAGAAGGGAAAGTGAAGAGACAAAAGTGGAGAGACACTAGGAAATAGAGAAAAGAAGCAGGAAAGAAAGGCATTGCTTGAGGTGAAGCAGTGAGGGGCTGTGGATTGTAGATTGACTAACTCTTCTGCAGAGTTGGGACAGTAAGAGGAATGGTCATTGCTCATTTGCTTATGTTAACACACTTTCCCTCTTCTTAAATGACCACTGAATAGAAGTGGTATTTGGGCTGTTTTGCATTCCCCCTAGCCAGTGATTGGACTCACATAAACACAGGGAGCAAAAATCATGGTGACTTATTTTCTCCCCCCACCCCCGTGCGCCCGGTGCAAGCCACCTAATTACCTGCACTGGGCATGAGTTACTGTGACTCCAAACCCACCCGGTTCAGACGTGACGACAACCATGCCCAGTGAACGTATTTGGGCTAATTAGAGGCTCACCACCAGCCCCTACAAGGAGGGAAAATAAGCCACCATGGCTTACTTTCTCTTCATGATCATGCAAAACTGCCAAGCTGGCAGTAAAACCAAACTGGAACAGCAGAAGAACATCAGCTGCATAGGAACTGCCAAAGGCAGACAATAATAAGATAAGAGATGGCACATCAGGTAACATGACATACACAACAGCCTCCCATTCTTCGATTCTGTGTTCATTCAGCTATTGGGCAACATAGAAACTAAATAAATAAATACAATTCTTGGTGAAGTACAACTACCCACTAGTTTCACACTGAGATGCCATTCACACAACCTGACAAACCCCTGTGTGGTTACCATGAGTTGCAGCTTTTTACTATGATTTACACGACAATCAAGTATCATGGTTTTCATCATCCCTCCTCAATCCCCCTACCCTTGGCTGGTATCCCATCAGCCACTATGCCTATGTCACCTTCCTCTTTCTCACTGGTCCATACATATAGGCTGGATGGCTGAATTGGCTCCTGCAGTTGCCACTCTTTATTTATTTACTTATTTACAGCTTTTATATCCTGCCCCTCACAATGCCTCAGAAGACTCTGTGCAAATTGCGTACCAGGACTATGCAAACCATGATCCTGGGTACATACAACATGACTGACCATGGTAGTACAGAGAAACTATAGAGCAAATCATTGTTTCTTATATAACTTCTAAAGACCAAACTTACTATGGTGAAATACTACAGCTGGGTTCAGACAACACAGTAGACCAATGATGATTTTAAAAATTACCATGGCTTGTCATGTTCCCTGAACCCAACCTTGCAGTCACTCAAATGAATTGTCCCATCCCAAATCCAGACTGGTTGAACTGTACCAGCTGGCTCTGTACAACAACAAATGGCCTAAAAGTTCCCACTAACTTTGCATGCGGAAGGACCCAGGTTTAATCCTTGATATCTCCAGGTAAGGCAGGGAAAACTAGCCAAAACTCTTCGGGAACCCTGCTGCCAGTCTATATCATCAATACTAGATGGACCAAGGGTCTATAAAAGAGAGCTTCCTATGTTCCCTCTGGATCTGAAGATACTGTAATAGGAATAAAATTTGGAGTTTGCTAGAGAGCAACCCTTGCCCTATCCTGGTGTGACCACCAGGAAGAAGGAACAGGCAGGATGCTAGCCTCTACCTGCACTCAACAGAATTTCACTGAAGAGATGTCATCAGGTCTGAAATATCCCTAACTTGTTTCCCTGACCTGTCTGCCTGTTTTTCACAGAAGTATTTCCAAGAGTGACTGCTTATTCCTCAAACTCACATTCCACAATCAACTAATGTCAATTTTTGCACAGACTGTCACACCACCCGCCTGCTCAGTCTTCTTGCCCCTTCCTTCAAACCTCTGGCTTCTGTTCTGAATTCCTTAGTTGGCCCAGTTTATTGCACTGGTCACTGTGATCATCTGACTCCTTTTTGCCTATATTGGTTCCCTCTTTCTTCTTGCCTTCTGTTTAAACTTGTTCATCTGTTTAAGCAGACAATGCAGGGCTAGAGGGACCGCCCAACATTTTAATTCTTAGTTCTCACTTCTGTTGCTTATTAGCTTCTTTCGTGTGCTCCCCCCCCCCCGCCCCACCTACCCTGAGCATTTTTCTCAATCCTTTGGCACCCTTATGCCCCAGAAACCATGATAGAAGGGGATGTAGCTCAGTGACAGGCTTTAAATGCAGGAGATCCCCCAGATTTGATCCC